GAGCGACTGTAAACAAGATGATAGATGAGGGACCACCACATTGCATATCCGTCTCTGGATTTTGTTGAGGAACCTAAGACGAAAATCAGGGGCTCCTGGCAGTGTATGACAGCACTGATTGATTATCAAGCTTTATGTGAACTTTCGTATTAAAAATTTCCTTTTTCAAATAATCTTTCGACAACTGAGAGAAATATTTTACTTTAAGATATGATAGCGTAATTCTTCTCGTATGCTTATAACAAAAGATATGATTGAATGAGGCATCCATATGAATCGTGGTAAGAGGTGTCTTGCTTAGTTTTGATGGTCGCTTAAGCTTGTCTACGCTTTCACAGTAGCAGACGATACGCTTGGTTTACGTCTAATGCCGTGGAAAGTGTGTATAAGTTAATTAAGATCCCAGTTAGGAAGGTTCCTTTGACGTTTGAAGAAAGTGAATTGATGAGAGGTGGTTACTGGGGTTGGAGTCACATGATAGCGTTTGTTATCGGGGATTGGGTGACTCCACTGATTAGCTGCTAATATCCTGTCTCAGTCAAAACGGGCGGATATTGGCCATTGCTCGGATAAGCCTCTTGAACAATAACGGACACGTGTCTCATAACCAACCTGTTGCTTAAACACAATGTGTATGTAAGTTAAATACAGTAATTTCTTTATTTCTACTTGTTTACTGAAAATCGGTGACAGGGTAAAATTTATTTATCTATCTGCTTATATACGTCCTTACAGACATTTGATTCTGTATAGTAATGTTAAGTTCATTTTCTTTGGATATATCGGTCATCTTGTTTGGATATATGTATACACCTACATTCGCATATATCTGTAGAGGTGCCTCCCTTTTTTTATATGCTTTAATCGAATCTCCCCACCAAAACAAAGTAGTAAGGGCAATAATAGACAGAAGGGTGTGTAAGAATTAGAAAACAGAAACATTATTAAGGAGAGAAAGACAGTAGATAACGGCTGACAGTTCATTTATATTTTTGATGATCAAATTTGGCTGGCCGGAAGTGTGTCCCACAAGCGAGAAGTGCGAATGAGAAACTGTTAGCATAGATCTTAAGCTTACAACTATCAAATATTGAACCCTCCCCCGCAAAAAAAATCAAAACACTATAAATGTATAGGAATACATTTTATCAGTAGATGGAGGCATACAATAGGGTACAAAATATATTTAGTTGAAACTGGAAAATTGTGTTAAAATAACGGTCAAATTAAAAGAGTGATTAATATAATTTTCATTAAACGAAAATGTGGGTCAAGTTAATATATAAAATATCCAAAACACTGACCAGCCTTCAAAGGTTTCTATCAAGATGGCTTTGTCATTTAGAACTGATTGCCCTCGAATTACAGATAAACATATTTATATTAAGCCCGTATGCCTGAATAGAAAATAATGTCTCCTCCAGAATTAAAGATTTATTAATTATTCCTATGTAGACATATATATATATATATATATATATATATATATATATATATATATATATATATATATATATATATCTCTCTCTCTCTCTCTCTATATATATATATATATATATATATATAGAGAGAGAGAGAGAGAGAGAGAGAGGAGAGAGAGATGATATATATATATATATCATCTCTCTATATATATGTATCAGCGCTCTCTCTCTCTCTCTCTCTATATATATATATATATATATATATATATATATATATATATATATGTATCATATGCTAATATACTTGCCATCCTTTTGTATGGTCCAGAGTCGTCGACACCATACAGGTACCATATACGCCAGCTAGATGTTTTCCATAAAAGCTGTCAACATGCAATCTGTGGAGTTAAGCTTCAAAGAGGAACATCTAACGTAGACCTGTTTAACAGGTGTAATATTGGAGGAATCGAGACTTTTATCATACAGTCTCAGTTACGGTGGACTGGTCATGTCTTGAGAATGTCTGATGACAGGATACCCAAGATCCTAATGTACAGCCAGTTAGATCAGGTCTACAGGAATGTAAGACGCCCATGGCTAAGATACAAAGACAAGCTAAAAAGCAACTTGTCAGCAGTCAATATGCCACATAACACCCTTGAGCGCTTAGCCTT